GGGGGGGGGGGGATGCAGCCCCTGAGCCCTGACCAGACGTTCAGGCCGCAGCCGTCTAGCACCTTCACTGTGCCAGGGCCTCAGACGAATCTACTGAGGTAGCTGAGATGCTGTGGGTCCGGGAGACCCGGGCGGCTGAGTCGACAGGCGACTTCTCATCACACAGCGAACGAAGGGTGACCTGTGCCGTGAGCCTCTGCCCAGGTCTCAGGAGGTGGCGGCGTCCCTGGGCCCTCCCCGCAACCCCGGAGGCCACCCTGGCCTCGGCGTTTCAGACACCCAGCACGCACGGTGCGTCGCCGTCCTCTCTGTGTTCGCACGGCTTTGCTTGGGAAGAGGTGGTGGGTGCGTCCTGTCGGAGCTCCAGGAAGGCCTCGGGGACCCGGGGGACAGGCAGGAGGAGGGCGCGGCCTCTGGGGCTCTGGCCGTATTCAGCATTCACCCTCCGAATCCGCCGGCGCCCGGCGCACGGGGCACATCCTGTGTCTGACAACCTTGGACGCCACCCACAGGCCTTCGTGCAGCGCAGCCCTCGTGGGTGGTGGGTGCAGAATCCGCGTGTGGGACACCCAGCGGGACATGCCGGGGGGGCGGCAGGACGGGCGGGGAGGACCTGGTGGGGTGCGAGCCGGAGCTGACCATGCCGCCGGGAGTCGCGTCTTGGAGGAGCCGATGCCCCTTCGTTCCCGTCAGCACTCGAGCCCAAGGTGTTTGCGGCTGGTGGTCCCCGAGGACCGGCACTCTCATGACGACAAGTCCAGCAGAGGAAGACGCACGTGTAAAGGGACTAGCGGTCCCGGGGCTGCGTCCCCCCAAGGAGGCGGCTCCACGCTTGGGGCTGGAAGCTTCTGGAACCTGTGAGGGTGCCTGGCGTCCTCTGTGCTGATGTTCGTGGACACCCGGCAAGCACACGGGCACCCGGCAAGCACACGGGCACCCGGCAAGCACACGGGCGCCGTCCACGAGCCCCTATCTGAAATACTGCGGGACCCCGAGCTGGTGCGTGACTGTGTTTGACGATCAACGCTCCGAGAAACCTGATTAGTTGGCCCCAAATATTCTGAGTGGCAGTTAGTGACTCTGTTATTTAGAACGAGTGGGAATGTGTCATTTTCTTCCTGTTAATAAAAGTTAACGATGTCAAGCGACTTCCATGCTGGGGTCACGTGTGGCCTCCTCTGTGGCTTCACCGGGGACATGGCCGGTCGTCCAGCCAAGCCCAAGAGAACCAGCGCTCAGGAGCGCGGCGAACGCACAGCCGCGCCCGCCGCCAGCTCGGCTGCTGCTGCGGGGGCGGGTCAGGGGCGACTCCGCGTGGGTTTCATGAAACTGAAGCAGAACGAACAGCTTCCCTGAGGGCCTGGGTCTCGAGGCCGGTGGTCAGGGAGCACCACAGACCCGGGTCTGGAATCCATCCCCCCAGCGACCTTGGACCGACCTCTTGGCCCTCTGGACTCCTCAGGGGGGGGTCTCATTTAAGGACAGAACCTTGACACGGACACTTCGTGGGACTCGAAGCTCAGTCCCTCCAGACCGGCGCCGCCACTCGCCGGTGTCATCCACGTGCGGAGATATTTATGTGCTTCCAGGGGGTCCTTTGGCCGGATCTTAAAAAACAGCAGCTCTGTGCGGAATTTTTAAAAGGACGTCCTAGTGGCAACTTTCGCTCTTTCCCGGTTGAAGCCTCCGTTTTATTGTTCCTTTTACGGCTGCATTTTCCTAACTCCGGTCCCGGGAACTTCACCAGCATCACCCCTAAACCTTCTTTCACCATAAATGACAACGGCCTTAAAGAGCCAGATTCTCCAGAGATTTGGGGCGGGGGGGGGCGCAAGGAGACACCAGGCAGGCGGGGACAAAGCTGAAATGTCTGAGGGGACAGTGGATGCACTAAGGTGACAGAGAGGGAGAGGGACAGGGCTTCCAGTCACCTGCCCGGGGCACCGTCAACATCACTTTCCCAAGGGACCTGGCTGAGAGGCTGACCTTTAGGGAAAAACGAGTATTTCAGGTGTGGGAACCGCCACCTTACGTATGTGGTTGGAAAAGGGCACTGAGCTGTCAGTCTTTGTAAAAACCACCAGCCTGCTGTGAATCCTGAGACTAAGAGAAACCTTTTAAAGGACCGTGTGCCCCCCCCACCCCCGCTCGGGGCATTTTCCTGGTGACACCCCCCACCCCCATTATAAAGTCACATTTACCTGGTTTTCTCCGCTCTGGGGAGCAGCTACTGCCACCAAGGTTACAAAAATAAAGCTGAAGATTTAAAAAGCAACACAGGGAACGACCAAGGAGCTGCCTTCACACCTGGGGCCCAGAGACATTTACAAATAATTGTCAGGCTGCCCTGAAAATACGACTGTGGCCCCAAACAGTCCCGCTGGGCAGGTGCAGATGTGAGAGGAGCCAGGTGAGAGGACTGGGACACTGAGGTACTTTTGGGTTCATGACCGTCCTGCCCACGGACACCAGCTACGTACAGGCCCGTGGTCCAGACCAGGAGCAGCCGAGACGCGGCCCCCGGGACCTTCTGCACCGACCTGGAGACGGGCATCTCCATGCCCCAGATACAACCATTCACACAGGGAACCGGGCGACACCACGGCCCCGTTCAGATAGCTTATCCAATAATCTTCTGAAATTCTAAATCCTACGATTAAAAAAGAGCACGTCTCCCTTTGAAATTCAGGAACCGGAACCGAAGCCTTCCGAATAAATACTTTGCAGCTTTTAAAATAGCTAACCTTTGGTTACATCTAGATATACAGGATTACAAAAGTTAAAAAGTGCTGATTAGTTTTCAAGATTACAAAGGAGCCCAGCGGTCCGCAGTGGTGCCCGGGGAAGACAGACCATGATTCTGAGGTCACCAGATAAACTCCGCGGTAAATCACTATTGCGACGTAAGGAAATCTGCAGCGATCTAACGCCAGGCAGGCTCAGGGCGGCCGGCCACACACCACTCCCCAAGTTCTCCACGCCCCGACGGCGCGCTCAGAAGCGCGAACTGGGTGAAGGGAGGCAGCGAGGACGGTCCCGTTACCTCGGGCGCGCGGTCCGTCCCAGGGGTTAACCAGCGACCGCGGGAAAGGCGGCCTTGATCCCACTCCTCTGCAGCGCCGGCACCTCTGAACAGTCCCTCGCTCCGTGTCCACTCCCGAGCCTCAGTACATGTCCCTGTAGATCTCCTGCAGCAGCGGGTGCAGCGCCGCGTCCGACTCGGTCCTCTTGATGACCTGCACCAGCTGCGCGTGCTCGGTGACCAGCTGCCGCAGGTCCGCCATCTTCTGCAGAAGTTTCGGGAAGAGAAAGGCCTCGTCTGGGTGGTTGCTTTGCAGGTGGAGCTTGAGCACGTGCACGATGCCCTCCTGCATCTTCTCGATCTGCCCGACGTTGAGGAGGCCAGGGCGATCTGTCCCCAAAGGAGAGAAGAGACGAGTGAGTGGACAGTCGCCACGGCGCCGCCTCACAGCCGGACCCGCCTGAGACACCAGGATCCTGGTTTTACCTGGGCTTCCTCACCTGGAGCTTCGGGCTTTAGGCACCACAGGCCCGACTACAGGACAACCCGATATTCCCGAAGTCGCCAGGCTCACGGGCAGGCAGGACAAATACTCCTGGAAGTTTACACGGCTGTAAATCCACTAGACCCTGTCCTCTTGCATTTGCCTGGTTACTGCCGTCAGGTGAACACCCCCAAACACTAGGGGTCAGTATACACTTGGACGATGGTTACAATGTACAACCAGCTTTGCACGATATGGGAGATGAAATTCTCCCTCCTGAGTTAAAACTAGATATGCAGGCCCTAGATGGTTTGGCTCAGTGGTTAGAGCATCGGCCCTTGGACTGAAGGGTCCCGGGTTTGATTCCAGCCAACACCACGTGCCTTGGTTGCAGGCTTGTCCAGAAAATACACCCTGTCCCCACCCCTCACCCCATATTTAAGAGGCAGTGTAAAGCGTCACCCACTACTACGATTTTCAAAAGTGTTGCTCATAATGTAGATTGTTCTTTTTTTGGGGGGGGAGGGCTGTAAAATACACAGCTGACCCTTGAACGATGTTGGGGTTAGGAGTGCTGACCCCCATGCAGTTGAAAATACGTGTCTAACTTTGGACTCCCCTCAAACATAACTGCAGTCCCTGGGTATCTGCGGGGGATTGGTTCCGGGGCCCCCCGTGGACACCCAAATCCCTATGTAATACACGGGGCAGATCAACATGCGCGGTCAGCCCTTCTCATCCACGGATCCCCAAACAGGGATTGAAACTACTGTTTTTAACCTATATGATTTTATTAACCAATGTCACCCCAATAAATTCAACTTTTTTTTTTATATCCTGTTTTTGACCCATGGCTGGTTGAATCTGTGGATGTAAGACCTGAGACACGGAAGGTCAACTGCATATTTACTGAAGAAACCGAGTGTGAGTGGGCCCATACAGTTCAAGGGTCAGCTGTAGTTAACTTTTTAAACAGAAATTTAAAAAAATAAAGTGCCCCCCCCCCATAATTGTAACCCCATCATGCAGGTGTAATGTGTGTCTCACCTGACATCTCTGCATCGGGTCGATACATGATCACAATGCCTTTTATGAGACTGTGATCACGCTACATATTAATAGTTCTTTAACTTCTCTGTACCCACAGCTCCCACCGTGGGCGTCCAGCTGCGCTGCCACTTACTCTCTTTGCCAGAGCGTGAGGGCTCCCCGCACCGGCTGCCCGCCTGGGCGGGAACAGGGAGACCTCGTGGGGCTGGGCTGCCCTCCCCCGCGCCCCCCCAGCTCTGCCAGCGAGTCCATCACGGCACCGCACAGCTTCCAGGAGTCTGCGGTGCAGGAGCCCCATCGGTGCCCCCAGGCTGGGTGAGATAAGCGGACTTTACAGTAGGGCGATGACCTTCTCAGACCCGGGACAGCACTATTTACAGGAATGAGACACTGAGCCAGACACCTGGGGGCTGCAGAGCCGGCTTCTGCGGAGAGGCCTAGTTCCCTTCCTGCAAAGCGAACTTCCCGACTGCTGCTGGTGACTACTGGCATTTCTCATTATGAAACGGCATGAACGTATCAACAGCGGGCAGCAGTGACTGCTCTGACCTGTGTATGGCACCTCATAGGACACACGAATATAACATTACAATAACATGATTATGACATATAGTCATGCACTGCCTAACGACAGCATATATCCTTAGAAATGCATCGTTACGCAATTTCGTTGTTCTTTGAACATCACAGAGCACACACATACACACCTGGACGGTACAGCCCACTGCACACCTAGAGCCACTGCACACCTGGAGCCACTGCACACCTGGAGCCCACTGCACACCTGGAGCCCTCTGCACACCTGGAGCCACTGCACACCTGGAGCCACTGCACACCTGGAGCCACTGCACACCTGGAGCCACTGCACACCTGAACGGTACAGCCCACTGCACACCTGGAGCCACTGCACACCTGGAGCCCACTGCACACCTGGAGCCCACTGCACACCTGGAGCCCACTGCACACTTTGGCTGTATGGTGCAGCCTCGTGCTCCAGGGCTACTGGCCTGCACAGCACATAACTGTCTAAAACAACAGGAGATTAAACTGAGCACAGGAGGAAATGGCACGACCAAGAGACAAATAAACACAAGATGTGCGAGACCGCTGCTGGCGTAACACGCTGCTGTGTGACAGCTAACTTGTTCTAAGAAGTCAGAAGAATTCACTTAAAATAACAATTAAAAGGCCCTGGCCAGTGTGGCTTAGCAGTTAGAGCGTCAGCCCTTGGACCAGAGGGTAGCGGGTTTGATTCCCAGTCAAGGGCATGTACCTGGGGGCAGGTTCAATCCCCGGCCCAGGTCTGGGCATGTGGGGGGGCAACCAATCGACGTTTCTCTCTCCTCTCTCTCTCCTCCCTGGTGAGAGAGTATCCTCTGGTGAGCACTAACCAAAAATAAAAACATAACAATAAAAAGCGCAGTAAACACCTGGGCCAGTAACAGTTGCTCTTCACCATGGAGCGTTGTGTCCTGCGCACCTGTGCGCTGTACGATGCACGGCCGTCGGCGCAGCCGGTTGTCACACCAGTGTCTCCAAGCGCGCGGGGAGCGGCTGTGCCCCGACGTCACGAAGCCGCGAGCTCCCCAGGGACCCGAAGCTTCAGCTCCGTCACCACCCGTGGTACCTGCCCACTGTGGACTCACACGTCCTTCTGTGGCCCTTGGCTGTATCAGTGTCACACACCGCACACTGTCATTACCAACCACACCAGACACACCACCTGACAGGACTGTTATGTTCTAATCACAGAGAGTATGTTTATACGTTACGACTGTGAATGGAACGTACACAGCCAACGTGCACCATGTGTTCACATCACGACATGCGACGCGGTGTCGGTGCAGCTCTCACTGGCTTCCAGCAGGTGGCGATGCAGGGCGCAGACCCCCCACCCGTGCCCACCCCACAGGGACGCCGCCCCCGTGGATCCCACTGCCAGTCCTGCACCACGGGCCTCCGTCAGCGACACGGGACCAGCAGGTCACGCCGACGACTCACCTCCGCAGCAAATGATGGCGGCCACGAAAAGGGAGATGTCGCTGTCGTCCAGCTCCAGGGCATTGAACTTCATGGCGAAATCGAACTTGGGCTCCATGATGTCGCAGAAGGGCTTCCTGAGGCTCTTGAGAAACTCGCGCGTTATGAAGCCGTTGCCGTAGGCCACCAGCATGCCGTCCTTGTTCATCACGGACGACAGCATGGCGAATATGGCCTCGTAGACGCCGTACTTCAGCAGGGTCACCTGGTCGTTGAGGTCCAGGCCCGCGAAGCCGGGGATGGACTTGGCGAACTCCGTGAGCTCCGTGACGGTCTCCACGGACGTGCACTGGCAGCAATGGAAGATGCGGACCTCCGCCTCCTTGTTCTGGATGCCGTTGGCCACCAGCTTGGCCACCAGCGTCTTCTCGGCCATGCACAGCGTCTCCATGTCGTGTATGACGAACGGCTGCGGAGAAAGGCGCGCAGTGAGTCGGGTGGCCGGCGGCTACTGTCCCCCGATCATCACGGCGCCCAAGGCACCCGGGGAGGGCCGGAGTGTGTGCAACACGCAGTCCCCGTGGGGGCAGGCAGACAGCCGAGATATTCTCAACAATACAGATCAGTGAACAAACAGCAGCAGCCCGGCCAGCGTGGCTCAGTGGTTAGAGCGCCAGCCCGTGGACTGAAGGGTCCCGGCTTCGATTCTGACCGAGGGCACGCACCTCGGTTGCAGGCTCAGTCCCCGGCCCCGGTCAGGGTGCGTGCAGGAGGCAACCGACCCACGAGTCTCGCTCACATCGATGTCTCTCCCCGCCCTCCACTCTCTCTGAAAAGCAATGGGGAAAATATCCTCGGGCGAGGGTTTAAAAACAACAACAGCCCAGCGGGCGTGGCTCAGCGGTTGAGGGTCGACCTGGGATCCAGGCGATCGGGGTTCGATTCCCGGTCAGGGCACATGCCCGGTTGCGGGCTTGATCGGTGACTCTCTCATCACTGATGTTTCCCTCTCTCTCTCCCCTTCTCCCTTCCTCTCTCTGAAATCAATAAAGATATATTTAAAAAAAATAAAAAATAAATAAAATAAAAACAACAACAAACCAGGCCCCGTTCTTAAAGAACCTCGGCATCCGCGGGGCAAGGGGACCTCGACAGCGCTCACAGCCGAGGCCGGCAGGACATTCAGTCCCCGCCGGACCCTGGGGGGCGGGGCAGGGATTTTGCTGCTGAGACAGTGAAGCACTGATCTCAGCAACAGAGCCGACGAGATAAATTAGCAAAGCGCTTTTACCATTTTATTATAATATTCTCCAAACACCTAACTACTGTAGCAGCCTAATAGTTCTTAATTTTACCATTTTATGAACTTTAACAGGTAATTATACTTAACACTGACTGTTGTTTCTGTTTCTTTCCTCTTCACCCTAAAAGTGAGGATGGGTTGCCTCCTGCACGTGCCCTGGCCGGTGGCAGAGATTGAACCTGCAACCCAGGTACGGGCCCTTGGCCAGGAATTGAACCTGGGACCATCAGGGGCGCAGCTCTAACCACTGAGCCACGCCGGCCGGGGCAACGCTGACCGTGGAATGAATAAATCTGGGTTGTAAGTATATACGACTCGGAAAGCTGGTGTTTACGTAGAAATAAGCACTCGGGCATGTTAGAGCCTTGCCCGGGGGGTAACCAGAAAGCCTTGGAGAACCCGTTTCCCATGCGTGGGCCTGGCGCCTTCACATCAGAGCTCAAGTTCTGGAACAGGCGCCAAGCCCCGTGGCAGCCGGCTGCATGTCCCCACTGGCCCTGCCCTTCATCAAGGCTTACCGGAGGAAAGAGGAGATGCGGGCCCTGTAACCTGAAAGCAGCCTGCCCCGAAGGGCGCACCTGTCTGGGAGGGTGCGGGAGAGCGGCCATGAGCTCCCGCACCGGGCAGAATCACCGCCGGACGTGTGTGCAGAGCGGTGTGAGTGGCTGGGCCACCGTCCGTCGAAGATATAAACAGAGCACGCGAGCAGCCCACAACTTTAAAGATCACCGCCCGGGGGCCACATGCAATGCCACAGGCATCTGGACCATGGCCGGACGCGGCCCCTATGTCTGGGCCACAGAGCATCCGAGAAGCCGCAGCACAAAACCACCTGCGGGCACAGGAGGGTGGGTGTGCCAGGACCCCCCGACGGGCCGCCTTTGAGACGCTTACGGAATTGAGAATGTGCGATGCAGTGCTGGGAAAAATAACCCGAGTCCACATCTGAGGCAGGGGGATGTTTTCAAAGTTACTCTGAATGGGCGGGAACATTCTGCAACGAAATCTAAAGCCAAATTCCTGTGCATCTCAGTGTGACGCGGGGAGATGAGAGCGGCCTCTCTCCAGAGACCGTGCAGGCAGCCAGACCGCCGTGTAGTAAAAACACGGGGGCAGTCCCGCGGCACAGGAAGTCGGGGCTCAGGCTAAGGCGCTGACATCTGCAAGATCCCCCAATTCCAGAAAACAGACTATCAGGCCGCCTCGACTTTGTTCAAATCCCTGGCTTCTTAAAGTGTGTTCAGCAGGGGTAAAAAACGTTTTGTTTTGTTTTAAAAAAAAGAGTTCCAAGAAACCGTGAGTTGAAGGAAACAGGGCCTCCCAGAGTCTGTGACCTGAGCGTGGGCTGCGGGTCTTCCACACACCCGGCCGGGCGAGCATGGTTCCCACAGTCTGATTACAGATGCAGGACTTGCACAAGGCCCCGTGCAAAAGGCACGCAGGGAGCCCTTTGCTCGAAAACGGTTAAGAATCTCAGGACAGCAGCCGCCGAGCTTGCACCCCACGCGGCCTCCTGAGCAGGCCGGGGAAAGGCCTCCTGCCCACGGGGCTGGCCCTGGACGAGCGTTACAGGAAACACGCTCTCACAAAGGGGGGCTGAGAGGGAGCAAGTACTTCATTTCCCTTTCATCAAATCATCGCTTGGGTCTGAGAAGGCAGGCCTCACTAACGGGCAAATTTGGAAGCCATCTGAATTCGGACCAAGCGGGGGGGCTTGAAGAAGCCAACATGAGTCCAATCTAGAGAGAAGCTGTAGCTAAAACGCTTGAAAATTTGCCAGAATGAAACGATAAACATTCGTGATAGGACTGTTTAAAAAAAAAATCTGTGCAGCTGATAATTCACTTTGGAACGTGCCCTTTGCGCTCAAGCCTGAACACGCACACACCGGACACGGCCGGTGGTCACTGCAAACGCGTGAGCAAAGCGTGTGGTCGGGACCGACACAGCGTGAGGCGGAAAGCTGCCCGGTGTCCCCCGAGGGCGCCCGCCCAGGGCCCAGCAGGCTGCCAGCCGACACGCCACCTCTGCCCGCGTCACCGCCGCCCTGTGAGCTACAGTGTCGCTCATAACCACCCACCTCCACGACACAGCTTCACGGCATCTTCTATAAAAAATTAGGCAGTGCCCCCTTTTAGGAAACACTCGAGAATTTAGAAAAAGTCGGTGGAATTGCTCTGGATGAAATTATTTAATGAACATGGGGTTGGGTTTTCCCACATGTTTCTATGAAACAGTATAAAATATTAAGCCCATTTTTCAATCCAAAGACAACTTAAGCTGTACACAGAATATTTCCACCGCGCGGAGGAAGCCCCGGGTGGCGCCAGGAGGCTCGTCTAAGGGGCGGCGCGAGCCCTGGAGGTGCCAGGAGTCCCGTCTGGAGGCCCGAGCTGTCGAGGACAACGCGGGAACTCCTCCCGCAGCTAGTTTTAGGGCCTGTTCTCGGCCACACGGGGGAAGTTAGTTTCTTTGCTTAATTTCTACCCCCCCCCCGAACCCCAAACAAGACATTTGGCTCCGTGTGACTCCGTTTGCACACCAGGCTGGCTGCAAACCACTCATGGTTTTGTCTAAAATTCAATTTCAGTTTCAGAGGATAAACATTTTTTGTAACTAAAAATATTTAAAGACTCTAAAGACAGTTCCTGACAACGTTGAGCAATATGGGAATCCCTGAAATAAACACACGCTGTCCCCTTCATTTAAGTGGAATAAAGTCCTGGCACGTTTGTTAGATTTAAAGAGCAGGACGACTTAGGTTTCACCTTATATTCTGAGTCGCTAAAGTCTCAATGGTCAGTGCAAACGTGTTGCTGTTTTAACTGAGTAACCGGCACCCATTTCTCAGAGATGAGGTAGCTCCCAAAGCCAGAGGCAGCGAAGACTGAGGGTGAGTGTGCGTGTGTGAGTGTGTATGTGTGAGTGTGCACGGGTGCATGCGTGAGTGTGTGTGTGAGTGTGCACGGGTGCATGTGTGAATGTGTATGAGTGTGCACGGGTGCATGTGTGAGTGTGTATGTGTGAGAGTGCACGGGTGCATGTGTGAGTGTGTATGTGTGAGAGTGCACGGGTGCATGTGTGAGTGTGTATGTGTGAGAGTGCACAGGTGCATGTGTGTGTATGAGCGTGCACGGGTGCATGTGTGAGTGTGTGTGAGTGTGCACGGGTGCATGTGTGAGTGTGTATGTGTGAGTGTGCACGGGTGCATGTGTGAATGTGTATGAGTGTGCACGGGTGCATGTGTGAGTGTGTATGTGTGAGAGTGCACGGGTGCATGTGTGAGTGTGTATGTGTGAGTGTGCACGGGTGCATGTGTGAATGTGTATGAGTGTGCACGGGTGCATGTGTGTGTATGTGTGAGTGTACACGGGTGCATGCGTGTGTGTGTGAGTGTGCACGGGTGCATGTGTGAATGTGTATGTGTGTGCACGGGTGCATGTGTGAGTGTATGTGTGAGAGTGCACGGGTGCATGTGTGAGTGTGTATGTGTGAGAGTGCACGGGTGCATGTGTGAGTGTGTATGAGTGTGCACGGGTGCATGTGTGTGTATGTGTATGTATGTGTGAGTGTACACGGGTGCATGCGTGAGTGTATGTGTGAGTGTGCACGGGTGCATGCGTGAGTGTATGTGTGAGTGTGCACGGGTGCATGTGTGTGCGCACGGATGCGTGTGTGAGTGTGTATGTGTATGTATGTGTGAGTGTGTATGTGTGAGAGTGCACGGGTGCATGTGTGAATGTGTATGTGTGAGTGCACAGGTGCATGTGTGAGTGCATGTGTGAGTGTGCACGGGTGCATGTGTGTGCGCACGGATGCGTGTGTGTGTATGTATGTGTGAGTGTGCACGGGTGCATGTGTGTGTGCACGGATGCGTGTGTGCATGTATGTGTGTGTGAGCGTGCACGGGTGCATGCGTGAGTGCACGGGTGCATGTGTGAGCACATGTGTGCGTGTGTGCATGGGAGTTCATGAGTGTGATGTGTGCATGTGCGANTATGTGTATGTATGTGTGAGTGTGCACGGGTGCATGTGTGTGCGCACGGATGCGTGTGTGCATGTATGTGTGTGTGAGCGTGCACGGGTGCATGCGTGAGTGCACGGGTGCATGTGTGAGCACATGTGTGCGTGTGTGCATGGGAGTTCATGAGTGTGATGTGTGCATGTGCGAGTAATGAGTGAGCACGCACAAGTGTGCATGAGTGTGGGAAGTGAGCCTGGCCCGGAGCAAACCGCGACCCCCAGGCAGCGAGGGGCGGTGGACGTGTGGTCCGCAGGCTGGGGGGCAGGCACCGCTCCAGCAGCACACCAAATCCCGTTTTTCCGATACAGTGAAGCCCAGCCCCAGACCACGGCCCATTACTTATCTCCTCAGAGCAAAGGACAGCTTCTCCTCTGAGGGGAACCAGCTGCCCGGACGTCATCGGCTCTGGCCGAGGGTGCTGGGCTCCTTCTGAGGCTCGTGGATCTCCCGGGCCTCCCGGGCCTCCCGGGACACTCCATGGGAGTCAGATTAATATTCAACAAGAGCGTTTGGTTAAGAGTAAAGATGGGCCCTGGGCAGGGTGGCTCGGTGGCTGAGCATCCGGGCACATCCCAGGCACTGAGAGGTTGCCGATTCCTGGTCAGGGCCTGTGCCCGGGTTGGGGCTCGAGCCCCAGGAGGGCGCATGCAGGAGGCAGCCAGTTGATGTTTCTCTCCCTCCCCCTTCCTCTGTCTCTCTAAAATCAATAAAAACATTTAAAAAAACAGAGTAAAGATGACTTGTAAGTTTGCTTTAAATTCTGAAAGTCCAAGGGAGAAAAAAAAAATCTCAGAAAGATCCAAAAAGATCTGAAAGAGATCAGAATTTTCGGTCACTCAGATTTTGGGCTGCACTTACCAACTGCTCCCAGGATAGAAATTCAAAGTTAAAAGGTCAGCCCTGGCCGGTGGCTCAGTTGGTTAAGTGTCATCCCAATGTTCCAAGGCTGCGGGCTCAGTCTCAGGTCGGGGCACATGTAAGAAGCAACCAATGACTGTGTGGATGGTGGAACAACAAACCCATCTCTCTCCCCCTTCCTCTCTAAAATTAAAAAAAAAAAAATTAAAAAAAAAAAAAAAGTTACTTTGCTTTAACCCCTATGACCCAAAGAGGGTCTAATTTGCTCGGGCCTCCGGGCTGCCCGGCGCGGGTGTGGCTTCACCAGTTTAACAGAGTTTGCTGAACTCTCCTAAAATGTCTCAGCCTATTTCATTGGAGAATTCACTGAAGAATTAAGACTCAGTAAAAAAAGAGGTTGGTCTGTTCATGAAAGTAAGGAGCTTGTGAAATGCTTTATTTTCCTGCGACTAAAAATCCCAGCTCGTAATTCCCAGTAAGGACTGTTTCAAGCTACTCATTAGCGCAAATGAAACCCGGTTCACCGGGCTCGGAGGAAAACGCCAAATGTCTTTATCTGCCAACCTCGGCCGCCCCGCTCTTGGGAGGCAGCTCGGAGATTAGTTCTGCGATGCAGACGGACTTGGTTACGGGTGGGGTGGGGGCGGGACGAGGCTAGGCTGCCAGGCGACGGGGTGCGGGGGCCCCAAGGGGCACTCACTGACGCTCTTGAGAGGTCCAGAGCTGTCCAAAAAGACAGTCAAGTTTCTGTGAAGGAATCGCCCTTTCTAAGCCCTCAGCGTCACCGCCTTCTCCCTGAGGAAAGCGTGCGCGCAGGGGGCGGGGGTCAAAGAGGAGGCCGCAGTTTGGGGAGAAAGGGAGCAAGAGCGCGTTTTGAGTGGAGAGTGAATGGTTTCATTTTCTGGCATTAAAATGGGGATTTTTTAAAAAATGCACTTCAGGCCAGGCCGGCGTGGCTCAGCGATTGGGCGTCGACCTAGGATCCAGGAGATTGCGGTTCGATTCCCGGTCGGGGCACATGCCCGGGTTGCGGGCTTGATCCCTAGTGGGAGGCGTGCAGGAGACAGCCGATCGATGACTCTCATCATTGACGTTTCTCTCTCTCCCTCTCCTTTCCTCTCTGAAATCAATAAAGACATACAAAAAAATGCACTTCAGAAACGACCCTAGAATCTGGTAGCTATTAACTAGGTTGTGTGTATGTGTATGTGTGTGCTCACGTGTATGTATGTGCATGTGTATGTGTGCATGTGTGTGTATGCATGTATATATGTATGTGCGTGTGCATGTGTGTGTGTGCATGTGTGCGTGCGTGTGTGTGTGTGTGTGTAAATTACTCATTTTAATAGCTTGGTCTCCAGGAGCTTTGAGGTAGATCAAACCCACAAGATGGGAGCTGTTGTTAAGCTACATTTTAGCATCTCTGGATGAAATGTATCCATCCCACTGCCTCGGGGATACACAGTATCTTCCCAGCATTCACACCTGTTTTCTCACACACACCCCCCACGCTAGCTGCCGGGCTGCCAAGGGAACACCGGGACTCGCACTCGAGGACACCTACTGGGTTGTTGCTGGCCTTGCCGGCGAGGATGACCCGGGCCTTGACCTTGTTCATGTTGAAGTTCTTCAGGTAGGCCTCGTAGATCCTCTTGGCCAGGGACTTGAGATCCGCGGTTTCGGAATCGTCTACGTCGTGTTCGCACGTGAGGATCTCCGCTTTCAGTTTTGCTTTTTCGGATCTTGGCATCCGTCCAAAGCGAATTGCTGGGGGTGCGGTGGGGGGAGAAACGGGATAAGGGGGGGTAAACAAGTGAACAAGGAGCGTGAACCGGGCTGACCCCGGCGCGGGACGCGGGGGCAGGAGTCAAGCTCTGAACGAAACGCAGAGGTGAGGCCAACCCGCCTCGCGTCCCACGCGACGTCCTACTTTGGGGAGGAAGGTGAGACTCCAGCTCCACGCGTCCTGGGCCTTCCCAAAGGCAGCCGGGCTAATGAGTCATTTCACTGGCGGGACCGGGGCTGGGGCCTGATGGCGCCTTTCGGCCAAGAAGGCGACAGGGAGCCTCAGAGTGAGCTCATAGCAAACCTAGTCTTTTTTTTTGCAGAAAGTAGACATGCAATTTTTGTGCAGTCGTTATTTTAAATTCACCTTTGCGCAATAATCGGCATGTTCTAAAATCAGGGTATGATTGAATGCAATTAAATTCAGGACACGGTAAGATGCTTAAAATGGCACGTGCTTGCCGGGTGTGATATAAACACCACAACAGCCCAGTGGTGTACAACTGGTTTTAAAACCTTGTATCAGCGCCTGGCCTGTGCGGCTCAGTGGTTGAGCAACGTGCCCAGAACCAAGAGGTCACAGGTTCGATTCCCGGTTGGGGCACATGCCTGGGTTTCAGGCTCAATCCCCAGTAAGGGCCGTGCAGGAGGCAGCCGATCGGTGATATTTCTCTTCCTATTCTTCTCCCTTCCTCTCTCTCTAAAAATCAATAAAAACATTAAAAAAAAAAAAAAATCTTATATCCAATAAAAAAATATAGAGATTTTAAAAAATCTTGTATCCGAGTCTTACCGTCTGAAGTTTCTAATAGTAACTCCAGTGCTGGGCCGAGTCTCAGCTATCCGAGATTCTTATTTTTTTAGGTTACTATGGTTATAGAATGACGTGGGTATTAAATACCACAGCACCTTCGTTCCAAATACGGTCTGTTCTGAGCAGACGAGGAAGGGAAACTGAGGCACGGGCTGGGAAAATGCGAGAGACAACCTTACCTACCGTTATGGGACATCCCAACTGAAAGGCACTTGTGGAAGCGACAGTACTGGCACTTGTTACGGTTCTTTTTCTGAATCTTGCAGCTACGGTCGCACTTGTCATAGACCAGCTTCAGTCGAATCGTTCGCCGGAAGAAGCCCTGCGCGGGGAGTATTCACAGCGTCACTGTTTCAGTCACTTTTTTTAATTAATTAATTTTTTTTAATTTCAGAGAGAGGAAGGGAGAGGGAGAGAAAGATGGAAACATCAATGATGAGAGTCATTGACCGGCTGCCTCCTGCAGGCCCCCGACTGGGGATCGAGCCACACCCCGGGCCTGCGCCCTGACCGGGAATCGAACCGCGACCTCCTGGTTCGTGGGTTGACGCTCAGCCGCTGAGCCACGCTGGCCGGGCTGTTCACCCTGCTTGCTGTTCATTTATTATCTCCTTTAAGATGAGCTAACTTTAGAGAAACAGTTCTGAAAGGTCTGATCGAATTGGGATGAATTGAAAAATTTAAATTTCAATACATGTAAAATTAGAGACAAGAAATCGAGGCCGAATCCAAAGTAATTCCCAAGTGTCCCCATCGGCCTGGAGGACACGACCGTCATCTCCCGGAGAGGAGCTCAGTCCTGTTAAAATTTACACAGATTTAACTTTTCCCTCTCGTCACATAACCGTATTCGTGACTAAAAACTTTCTACGGATTTTTGTAAGAGAATGTTAACTCCCTGAAAGACAAAAATTATAATAAAATATGATAAAGGGAAGCCAGCTCTACGTAAAGAATTTTCCTGCTTTATAAAAGCATCTCAAACTTTCTCCAGTAACGACTTTATACTTAAAACTAAAATTTTATTTAAAATCTCTGAACAAAAGTAATAGTTTATAAGCAGCTTTCTGAAGGCGCGTGTTAGAAAGGCTGGGAAGCGGTCCGCGCTGGCACCGGGGCCCTTCCTCTCTCTACGTCCCGCCGGGCTTCGCGTCTGCCTGAGGGTCGGGCGGGCCATAGGCGAGGGGACCGCAGTTCCCCGGGGAACGAGGGAGGAGGCCGTATCCCCATTTGATCGGTTATCTAGGTGTGGAGAGCAGGGTGGCAAAGGGCATGTGAGATTATGGGAAAGGGTAAGAGAGGATGGTAAAGGTCAGGATGCAGAGACACCTGGCTCACGGGGCCGTCCTACCTGTGCACAGTCCAGCCAATGTGGCCCGTCCTACCTGTGCACCCCATGGCCCACGTGGCCCGTCCTACCTGTGCACCAGGCGGCCCACGGGGCCCGTCCTACCTGTGCACCAGGTGGCCCACGGGCCCGTCCTACCTGTGCACAGTCCAGCCCATGTGGCCCGATGTGGGTGCCTGGAGCATGCAGAGTGTGCAGGGCACCACTAGAGGCTGTGGCATATTCCAAAAGTTAGTGATCACGTCAGCGTACGCAAAGGAAAGGGACTTCGGACGTTAACCAACGTCACTGTTTTAGTCACGTTTCTTTTATTTTTTTATTTTTTTAATTTCAGAGAGAGGAAGGGAAAGAGAGAGACACGTCAATGACGAGAGAGTCACGGACCGGCTGCCTCCTGCACGCCCGACTAGGGATCGAGCCGCAACCCGGGCATGTGCCCTGACCGGGAATCGACCAGTTCTCCTGAGTCCCCCGGACGTGAGCTGCAGAGCCCGGGAGGTGCACGTAATTCTAAGAGGATGCAGCGCAGCGGGAGCTGCGGGGTGTCGGGAGGGGGCCCCTCTTACTGTCATGCTGGGAAGTCAGGGGGGCCCGGGACCCAGGGGGCAGGATGCTGCAGACATGGGCACCCCCTGACCTGCTGCTCTGGGCCACGCGCGAGGGTCTGGCCGAGCTGGCAGGAGAGCGAGGACACCAGGGTGCCCATGGTTGGGGTGGAGAGACGCCCGACACCCAGGAAGGGGTGCCAGGGGTGGGGAGCAGCGCCGGCCTGGGCGTGCTGCGGGGTGCTGATCCCGACACGGTACGTCTGATCGCCGCGGGAACCACAGCCCCCCGACGTCCTAGTGAGGGAGCGAGGGGCCTACGCTCTCTGACCTCGTATCCAAACGAAGGGATCACCCTGGACGTGGTGTATTTGCCTTTAAAACACGCATTTCTCACCCGGCCAGTGCGGCTCTACGGTTAAGCGTCACCTCATGCGCCAAAGGTCACCAGCTCAACTCCTGGTCGGGGCACCTGCCCCAATCCTGGGCTCGAGCCCCAGCAGAGGGTGTGCGGGAGGCAGCCGACTGATGATTTTCTCTCACCCATGTTTCTCTCTCTCCCTCTCCCTTCCTTTCTCTAGAAAATCAATAAAAACACATTTTTTTAAAAAGAAAGAACACCCTTCTCCGAGGCATTTACAGAGCCCAGCCGGCAAGGCGCCGGAGACGCTCTGGAGAGAGAAGTCCACCTGCTGCTCAGGCCGGTTTTGTACCTACGGCTTTCCGCAGGTCTTTGCAATGACAAACATTTCAGTATAAAAATAAAAGGAACCCTCGTAGTCCCCGACGCAGGCCACCCGTCTCCGCCCCCGGGGCCCAGCGTACCTTGCAGCCCTCGCACGCGTGAACCCCGTAGTGGTAGCCGGAGGCTTTGTCCCCGCAGATCCTGCACTCGATGTTCAGCGCCGTGCTGGAGGGCTCGTCGGCGCTGCCGGGGACCACGGGGCACGTGACCGACGAGGGACTGGAGGCCGGCGAGAGGGTGTCTGAGGACAGGCAGGAAAGACGGGTGAATGTTATTTCATTTTTTATTTAATGTTTTTATTGGTTTTATTTTTTGTTTTTTTTAAATCTTTTTTTTTTTTTAATTTATCTTTATTGTTGAAAGTATTACAATGTCCTCTTTGGTTCCCCGCTGACCCCTCCACCCGGCATCCCCCCACCCCCAGGCCTTCTCCGCACTGCTGTGTGTCCGTGGGTTATGCACATATGCATGTAAGTTCGCAGGTTAACCTCTCCCCACCCACCCCCTTCCCCCTGAGACCCCTCAGTCTGCTCTGTGCTTCTCTGTCTCTGGATCTATTTGTTTATCAGTTTATTTTGTTCATTAGGTTCCACCTATGAGTGAGATCATGTGACACTTGTCTTTCTCTGCCTGGCTTATTTCACTCAGCATAATCCTCTCCGGGTCCCTCCTGCTGTCTCGTAGGGTAAGGGGTCCCTCTTTTTCACAGCTGCATAGTATTCCACGGTGTGACTGTTTCACAGCTGCATAGTATTCCATGCCCACCGCTGGGCATCTGAGAGAGGAGGGAAAGGAGAGAGAACCCCTGGTGTGTGAGGTGTCCATCAGCTGCCTCCCACACCCCCTCCCTGGAATCAAGCCTGCAACCTGGGTACGGGCCCTGACCGGGAATCGAACCTGAGACCTTTGGGTGCGTCCGAGTGAACCACACCGGCCAGGGCATGACTGATGAATTTTCAAAGCACCCCCAGTCTGTGTCTCAGTCGGGCCTATGAGGATATGATTGCACATGGGAGGCAGCGGCCGGTGGCGGGGCTCCAAGCCTGTCGGACCCTGTCCTGGGCTGTCTCACCCCCTTCTGTGCCCTTGCGGCTGCTGTTGAGCTGGCACAGCTGACACACCCGCTGAGCTGCCGGGTTCTGGGCCCACAGGCCTGGCTGTCTCACAGACCCCCCCACCCATGGGCTCCCCAAGCCCCCGCACTTGACACGTCCTACAGGACTTGCCACTTTGTCTGCTTCCTTCCAGCTCTTCCGCAATTGTTAACTCAGTAAATGGCACCAGAACCCATGTGGACACCCGGCCGGTGTGGCTCAGCTGGCGGGGCATCGTCTCATGCACCAAGAGGTCGCTGGTTCGATTCCCGGTCAGGGCACAGGCCCAGGTTTCGGGCTCAGTCCTCAGTAGGGGGCGTGCAGGAGGCAGCTGATTGATCTCTCTCATCAATGTTTCTCTCTCTCTCCCCCTCTCCCTTCCTCTCTCTGAAATCAATAAAAACATATTTTAAAAATTTTTTTTAAATCCACATGGGCTGTGCCAAAACCATAANAACATATTTTAAAAAATTTTTTTAAATCCACATGGGCCATGCCAAAACCATAATCCACGAAAGAAAAAAATAAGTTGGACTCTCTTAAAATTAAAACCTCTGCTCTGCAAAAGACACTGTTAAGAAAATCAAAAGACAAGCCACAGGCCGGGAGGAAATATCTGCAAAACACAGCCATCTGATAAAAGATTTATAACCCAAATATACAAAGAAGACTTAAAATTCAACAATAACAAGACAAACGACTCAACTTAAAAAAATGGGCAAAGGTCTGAACGGACATCTCACTAGAGAAAACACACGGGTCAGAAGCAAGCATATAAAAGATGGGCCGCGTCACCGATCGTTAGGACACCGCGAATTAAAACCACAGAGAGACATCACGAACACCCATCAGGATGGCCAAAATCCAAAACACTGACCACACCGACTGCTGGTGCGGATGGGGAGCCGCGGGCACTCCCCCGCTGCTGACGGGCCTGCGACAGGCTCAGCCACGTTGACAGCCTGGCAGTTTCTTGTAAGCGGGCGTCTTACAGGATTTCCACTCCTAGGGATTCACCCAAGTGATCTGAACACTTTTGTCCGCACGAAAGCCAGACGTGAACGTTTGTTCACAGCAGCTTTATTTAACTGCGCAAATGAGAAGCAGCCCAGGCGCCCCTTCAGCGGTGAGTGGAGAGCAAAGAGCCAGGCGGAAAGGCCGCGCACCGTGTGATTCCGGAGACCCGACGTTCTGGAAAAAGCAGGACTGCAGAGATAGTAAAGAGATCAGCTGCACCTGGGCCGGTTTGGCTCTGTGGTTAGAGCGTCAGGCTGAGGACTAAAAGGTCCCAGGTTCGATTCCAGCCAAGGGCAGGTGGCAGGCTCGATCCCCCACCCCCGTCAGGGTCCGTGTGGGAGGTGACCAATCGATGCGTCTCTCTCTCTCATCCATGTTTCTCTTTCTCCCCTTTCCACTCTCTCTGAAAAGCAAAGGGAAAAAATATCCTCGAGCGAGGATTGAAAAAAAAAAAAAAGATCAGTTGCTGGGGCGGGAGTGGGCTAGGCAGGGCTGGAGACCAGCAGCACAGGGGGTTTCTGGAGGATGTGAAACTATTCATGTGACAATGTTAACAGTGGATACGTGACACTACGCGCTTGTCAAAATCCACTGAACTTTACAGAGAGAACCTCAATGTTGCAAATAAAACGACTCAGGAGGTCTGGGAGCCCAGGACGGAAGGCCGAATGCACAGAAGAATCCAGCGGCGTTCAGAGCATGAAACAAGCTCACCGACGGCGAAGTGGGGCCGGCCTGCCGAACCCTGGGAACGAGCGGGGTCTGAGGCTAAAGGCAAAGAAACTGATGTAATCACTGTACATTGGCCGATACGGTAACCAACCGGGGGCTGGGTCAGCAATTCTGAAACCACTATACAGGTACCTGGACATGAACAATTAATTCAATGAACGGTGGGTGGTGGGAGCTGGGTTTCTCGCTGCTGGAGTGGGAGGGTGCAGACAGCAATAGGAACTCATGTTTACCTCAATACAGATACGGACGGCTACTGTAGAGGGGTGTTTGTGGGTATGTGCACATGCGTGAGTTAATATGTCTTTGCTCTATCAGCCGAGAGAGCCTGAAAGAAAAGAGACCCCAAGCAACCTACAACGATTAGAGGGGACAATACCCGGGACTCACATGGGGCGGGATGGTGTCGGGGTCCCACCGCTCACAGTGGGGTCTCAGAATTCGTGGGGCATTTGGGAAAGTACTCAAAAGGGCTCTGCCTCAGTGTTGAGCAAAAATCACCTCCAGAATCAATACAAAGCTTAAAAACAAGACCTGAAAAGACAAAATATTTTTCAAGGAACTTAACTGCCTCCTAGAACAAAGCTCAAGAATATTTGTAGGAAAACAAAAATATTCATCACCGACACAGTTCACACTGTATGACATCCAATAAAAAACATGACAAAACACACAAAGAAGCAGAAAATATGACCCATAAAATGAAATATCAACGAGCTGAAACTGACCCAGAAATAACCCATATGATAGATTTTGTAGAAAAGATATTTGAAAAGTTACGATGACTGTATTTATAGATGTTCAAGAAGCCAGATGAAAGACCGAACATGTTAGGTAGAGAGAGGAGGTGAAAAGCCAGTCGTGCTTCCAGGGATGGAAACTATAATGTCTGATATGAAAATACCCTGAATGGGATTAGGAGCAGATTGGACACTGCAGAAGGAAGACAGTAAACTTGAAGACAGAGCCAAACAAACTACCCGAAATGAAACAGATTGAAACAACACTGGGGAAGAAACAAACAAAAAAAGAACATTGTTTCATCTGCAAAATCTACCGGCATTTAAGGAAGAAATAAAATCAATTCTACAGAAGCACTTAAAGAAAACAGAAGAGGAGGGGGTGCTTCCTAAATCATCCACGAGGCCAGCGTTAATCTGACACCAAAGCCAGACAAAGACGACAAGGAAAGAAAATAGAAACAATACACCTCATGTACGTGGATGCAAAAATTCTTAATAAGACGTCAGCACGTCAAATCCAACAGTATCTGAAGAGGGTAACACACGATGACCAAGGAGGGTTTATCCTGGGAATGCAAGGTGGTCTTCGCCTTTGAAAATCAAGGGATGTAATTCACTATACGAACAACACTGACAAGGAAAAAACAATCTGATTATTTTAGTTGATGCAGGAAAAGTACTGGAAAAAAATCCAACGTCGATTCTAGATAAAAACTCACAGAAAACTAGAATTAGAAGGGAACCTGCTCAACTTGATAAAGAGCATGTATAAAAAACTAAGCTAACATCACACCTACGGGGAAAGACCGAACACTTTCCCTCACGGTCAGGAACAAGGCGAGGATGTTTCACATCTATTCAGCGTTGTCCCGGAGGTTGCGACCAATGTAATAAGACAAGAAAAAAAAATAAAAGGCATCCAGCTCGAAAAGGAAGCAGTAAAACTGTCTTTATGTATGGATGACATCATCGTCTGTACAGAAAACCCTAAAAAAACTAATCAGTTTAACAAGGGTGCAGGATACATGATCCATATTCATAAATCAATTGTATTTTTATCAATAGGAGTAATCAGAAATTGAAATTTGAAAAATACCTTTTACAATCACATCAAAAAATACGAAACACTTAGCAATGAATCTGACCAAAAAAATGTGAAAGGCCTGTACAGGAAAAACCACAAAACACTGCGGAGAGAAACTAAAGGCCTAAAGTAAATGGAGAAGTAAGTTCATGGCTCAGAAGACTCAATACTGTTAAGACGTCAGTTCTCCCCACGTCGATCTATAGATTCAACGCAACCCCAATCCAAGTCTCAGCAGGCGGCTTTGGTCTGCAGCGACGTACTGATTCTAAAACTAATAGGAAAATGGAAGGACCCAGGATACTCAAATGTCTTCAGAAAAGAAGAATAAAATTGGAGGGGGGTGGAATGGGTCATTGGGGAGAAAAAGGCACATCTGTAATATTTTGAACAAAAATAAAAATAAAAAAAGAATTAAAAAAGAAAACTTAATAATTTCCCCATAAATGTGCATTTACTCTTGTAAACTTACTCAGGGAAGCATATCTTCTCATATATCTGATAATAAAGGAAACACTTGGATAAAGAAAAAAATAAAGTTGGGGGACTTAAGGCCCTTGACCTGGACTCTCCCAGAGGCCCATTTCCCGCTCTGAGTCGAACACCACACGCGCCTCGTTCCCACCCACAGGCTGCCGCTCCTGGCTCACCGACACCCCCTTTCTTCAGTCCCAGCCCAGGACCCGCTTCTGCCAGGAAGCCCCGTGAGTCCAGCCCGGACGGAGGCCCCGGCAAACGAGGTGCCGCTTAGAGCACGTCCTACCAGGCTGGCATCAACGCCGCCCAGAACACGAAGCATTTCACGATGCCTCTTCCCCGGCAACGCCGCAGGCCATCGGAGTGGACCCCGAGCTTTCCTTCCACCTGCCTTGTCGCTCTTAAGGCAGGAGGTGGCAGGCGGGTCACGCACACGTCCAGGTTTAAAAGGGAGTTGCCTTCGTTACAACAGGAATCTCTGCTTTCGAGGAATACAGGCTGGGCCCTGGCCGGCGTGGCTCAGCGGTTAAGAGCGTCGGCCTGCGCACCGCAGGGCCGGGGGTTCGATTCCCGGTCAAGGGCACCTACCTGGGTTGCAGGTCCGATCCCCGGCCCTGAGGGTGGGAGGCAGCCAATCGATGTGTCTCCGTCACATCGATGTTTCTCTCTCTCTAAACATCAATGCAAAAAATATCCTCAGGCCCTGCCGGCGTGGCTCAGCGGTTGAGCATCGACCTAGGATCCAGGAGATCGCGGTTCGATTCCCCATCAGGGCTCATGCCCGGGTTGCGGGCTCGATCCCCAGTCAGGGGCCTGCAGGAGGCAGCCGATGGATGTTCTGCTCTCACATCCATGTTTCTCTCTCTCTCCCTCTCCCTTCCTCTCTCTGAAATCAATAAAGACATATTTTACTATATATATACATATATATGTATATGTATATGTATATATATATATATATATAAATAAAATAAAACTAAAAAAATACTTATAAAGAAAATATCCTCACTGCTTGAACTACAGGTTGGGCAAAAGCAGGTTTGCAGTTGTTCGTGTGGAAGCCGCCGCCGCAGGAAGAGGGAGCTCCTCCCGCTGAAGGGGGCCAACCGTCCTCTCTGGAGACGCTGCTAAGCCAGGCTTCCCAGGAGACCGCGCACTCACCTGTGACGACGGACCCGTCCGAGCCCGGGCCGCTCCCTAGGTACTGATAGTCCGTGAAGCTGAAGCTCCCGGAACTGTCCTCGCCGATGGACTGAGAAATCTCCTGGATGTTGCCCATTTCCTGCAGGAACTCTTCCGACAGCGGGCTGTCCAGGTCATCGGCCTCGAGCGGGAAGAGGGGGCAGATCGGGCTCTCCGTGTCCACCATCCTGGCCCGATGGCCCTGGTCGCACAGCCGCGCGCCAACCCGCTGGGAGGAGAGAGGGGGGACCGGTGAAAACGACAAGAACGCCGGGCTCCCGCTCACGAAAACATCATTGACTCATGAGGATGTCCGTGAATCGACAACCTAAAAACTGACGTCGTTGCCCGGGCGCTGTGGCTCAGGGGTTGAGCATCGACCTATGAACCTGGAGGTCAGGGTTCGACTCCCCGGTCAGGGCACGTGCCCGGGCTGTGGGCTCGATCCCCAGTCGGGGGAGTGCAGGAGGCACCCGATCCATGACTCTCATCATTGATGTTTCTCTCTCTCCCACTCCCCTCCTTTCTCTGAAATCAATAAAAAACTTATTTTTAATAAAAAAATAAAAAGTACTGACATTGTTGACGATCTTGCCTTGGCTTGAGTCTGGATGAGCAGACCAAGGAAATGAAAGTCTCGCCCGGCCGGGCGGGCTCAGCGGTTGAGCGTCGACCTAGGATCCAGGTGATGGGGGTTCGATTCCCGGTCAGGGCACAGGCCCAGGCTGTGGGCTCGATCCCCAGTCGGGGGCATGCGGGAGGCAGCTGATCAAGGACTCTCACCATTGACGTTTCTCTCTCTCTCTCCCTTCCTCTCTCTGAAATCAATAAAGACATATATAAAAAAAAGAAAATGAAAGTCTTTTTGTTGTTGCTAATCCGCACCCAAGGATATTTTCTCCATTGCGTTTTAGAGGGAGGGAGGGAGGGAAACATGGGCACGGGGGAGACACATGGACTGGTCGCCTCCCGCACGCACCCCAACCAGGGCCTGGGATTGAACCTTCAACCCAGGTACGTGCCCTTGACCGGGAATCGAACCCGTGACCGTCCGGTGCGTAGGGTGACGCTCTAACCACTGAGCCACCCTGGCCGGGGAGAAAAATGAAAATCTTCCGACACAGAATGTTTAGGCACCGTCGCCGACCAGGCAGGAATCAGTCCTTCGTCACTAGTCACACCGTGTGCGGAGCTCGGTCCACCTGATCTCAGGCGGACACGGCCACGGTGGACACAAAGTCCCCTGCTCCCCCGGGACACCCTCCTGGTGGGGCCACGAACGGTGAGCAAATAAACAAACACACGTCTGGCGCGTCGGATGGTGACGCAATGAGGCAGGAGAGTGGACGGGAAATGGACTCTGCTCCACGCGGGCGGGCAGGGGCGGCCTCGCTGACCAGGGGCGGCCTCGCTGACCAGGAGCCAGGAGCTGGAGGAGCCAGGGAGCGAGCCGCGCAGACGTCGGGGGGGGGACAAAGCCCCAGCGAGTCGGGCAGCAAATGCCGAGGCCCCAGGAGGGAAACGCCGGCGGGTCCCTTCTAGGAGCGAGCGGGCCGGGGTGGCGCAGGCGGGGGCGGGGACAGCGGGAGGGACAGGCGCCCGGCGCAGAGCCACAGGCCCCCCCGGGGCAGCGCTCGTGGTCTTTCCTAAGGAGACTGCGCCGCAGCAAGCACATCGCAGTTTTTTAAAAAATCTGAACAGGCGAGTTCCCAACAAAGCCAGACAATGTCAACTCCCAAACGAAAGGCCCCTCTCCCCGTGGGTACCGGGACGGGCTGGACTGGGCCCCCCAAATCCACGTGCTGGAGCCCCGGCCCCTCCGATGTGGCCGCACTTGGAGACAACAGGCGGGGGCTCCATCGAGCACGGTCGTCAGAGTGGACCCTAATCTAAGCCGACTGGCGTCCTTGCAGGAAGAGGAAACCAGGACTCAGACACCGGGCGGGACGCGGACCGGGCAGGCGGCCGCCACAGCCCGGCGAGGAGAGGCCCCCGAGAATCAGGCCCCCGCTTGGGGATCTGGGCCTCCGGGCGGCCGGAGCTGCGGGATGAACGGCTGTGTCCAAGCCGCCCGCTCCGCGGCCCGTTACGGGGCCGAGCAAACAGGCGCAGGTACAAAGTCAAGGCGTCTCTCCCGCGCTGGCCCGTCGGCCTCTTGCGCAAACACGGAGGCCACAGCCGTGACCTCCAGACTGACGCTGTCACCTGAGCGCACTGGGCCTGCGCTGCCCG